ATGTTATTCACTGCCATGGGAATGCATATTATTAATTCATAGATGTTAGACACTTTCATATATTGATTCGAAGTTTAACATTTTATATTTTCAGGTTTACAAGTTAACCCGGATTCTCAGAATTTGATCCTCTCTCAATGTATGCCACAGAGAAAACCAAACATGTTTGTATAAGAGGCTAGCTCTGAACCCAAGCTTATATAGACATGGGTCGTCCAGACTTTTGAGAAGATAATCAATCATCACCGTCACAGAGGAGAGACTAACGAACAAGTTATACATCGACAACCTCAAGACCAATTCATCTCATGGTGTGAATCAAGCAAACAAATCTGTTGTATCAAACCAGCAGGAGTATGTAATAAGAAGTTTAACATGTTAACATCTCTACTGTGACTGATGTTTTGTAGTGAAATTCTAGGTAGATGCTTTAGTATACGTATTTATAGAATCTTGGTAGTTGGTAAATAAATGGGTTGATGCATTTCACGACAAAACCATTCCTTTCCGCAAAAGAAGAAGCAATCCAGCTGCTGAGTTATAATTGTTTACCTAATCAAAAAAAATTCGAAGGCAAACAGGTTATAGATAAGCTTAAGCAGAGTAGTCTTGTGCTTGTGAAGCATCCACAGGCACTTCTCTGAAAAGGTCTTCATATGAAACAGGTACTCTGATCCTCTCATAAACAGATTTCCTTTCTTGTGGTTTGGATTCAGTCTGCTCAGCTACCGGCATATCACCCATTTCGCTCACCACAGCTTCATCCGCGGAGGCATGTCCTTCAGAGGAGCTACCCTGATCTCTTTTTGGCCCTAATTTCGGCCTTGTGTTTGGGTGCCTAAATTGCTTCTGCAATATTTGAATAATGTAAGCGAGTAAGAGAGAAACGTAGGAAAGAAAACATGGCGTAACATAAATCTTCCTGACAGCAATTCTACATTTAAGCTAAAAATGGACAGGATATATCAAAGCATGATGTTATAAGATAGTAGCGAAGAACAAACCTCAAACTCCCTGGTCTTCTTCATGATCTCTCTGTGGGCGGCAGGTTGTCTTGCTTTGATGATGTTCCATAATATACCACCACCGGTTCGTTTTCTACTGCCATCAGCAGTCACTTGACCTCCACATGTTTCAATTGCTACAACCTAAAGAGACAGACATATTATAAACCAACTTCAAGCAAATTGAGGGAGCAACAGAGAGATCAATCCACAAAGCATTATTGGTTAGATAGACAGTCATCTCTCGATCATGACAACTTGACACTGCTGATCTCACTCAGATTAATTAATCTATTCACCCATGGTCTGATCCACATTGCCTAGAACTCTAGATCAATAAAAACGAGAGAAAACACTGATGTGCACAAGAGAAGAAAAAGTTATCAAGCTAATATTTAAAGTTTTCACCAGCTATATCTAAGGAAAATTTGAAACAGCAAAGAACGCTCCAACTGCAGGTCTAAAGATTGCTATTCATGCTGTTTGCACACAGATTAAACAGGCTTCTGATTGGAATAACATTT